ATCAAAGAATACTCTTTGGAACCTGTGTTTAAAGGCAATGCAGCTTCTCTTGCGCAGAATTCAAGTTTGTTCTTATTTCTTCCAGTTAAGTGGCTAAAAATAACTGCTGCACTGTTCCAGAACGCCACAATCAAGCTACTGTGAAAAAAAAACCCACACAAGCTGATGCTAAATGCTATTATTAACCTGAATCCTGTCCAAAGGATCTTAAGATGAAACCAGGAAAGCATTTCAGATCAGGGAAAGAAAGCAGCCTTGCTGCCTGCTATTACCTGTGATCATCTCTGGTAGATGCACCCATAAGGCATGTTCACGTTTGTACCTACATGTACTTTTAACGATTTTCCTCAGGAGCCATTTTTTTTTACTTTGTAATCGAATAAGGAGAGCATGAAAATAGTTCCTCCTCTGCCCAAGGAAGATTTTTCTTCCACTGATTTCCAGTGGGTCCCTTCATAATATATCTGTGCTTTGAGCTTCCTGTGATGAGGTCCACAACGACTGGGCTGCCACATGGCCAGGTTTAAACACACGTATGCCCCACTGACCATCAAGTCTCTGCTTTAAGCTCAGCCACACTGTAATACAGAGGACAATTTAAATGAGTTAGTGTAAGAAATGACAAATTGTTTTTCCCGGGGCACCTCCCTCTTTCCTCCTCCCCCCCCCCCCCGCATAGGGGGGTAAAACATTAACAGAACGGGATGGATTTGCAAAAAGATACAGCCACCACTGACCTGGAATGCCAAATTCCTCCTCCAAACTGACCAAGGGTACCCAAAGCAAATAAATGAACTAACAGTTGCAAGGTCAGCAAAAGAATGGAGGTCAAACATGCCCGAGTGAGGCACACACCAGGGGTTTCAGCCACAGCCCTCTATCACAGAAACTTGTAAGCTCTCTGTGAAAGTCATCTTCTTTCAGAGGTCCAGATTGATCTCTCCCCCTGCCACTGCCTTAAACATTTTACGTTGTTCTTTGTCTTTGAGTGTGGTTGATGAACAAGCTTTCTTGTTAGTTGTGTCAGAACATAAAATCCAGCAAAATGCCTCTCTCCATCCCATTGGGTACAGCTGAAATCCAGGACAGCAGAGGGACATTCTCAACACATGCTGAAACACTAGGCTTCCTCAGTGATTACACGCACATAGGTTACCAGCACTGACTTTGGGGTACGTGGGCCATCTGATACTAGTAGAGAATGTCACTGTCATTGCAAACGGACCATCACAAGGACTCTGGTTAAAACCCACCGTTTCGGTGTTCAGAAGAGGCAGGCTAATTGTCTTCATCGCTGTCACCATCTGCACTGTTGATACCTGCTGAGAGCAGGATTTTTTCGCTCTCAGCAAAGAATTTTTAGCACTGGTTTTAGCCGTTAATTAAAAAGGAATGAAATCTAGCTTTTCTTCTTTTATTATTTGTCCTTTTGTTTGTGGTTTGACAGGGGAAATGACTAAAGTAAAGGACACCTTTAAAAACCCTGGCCAAAACTGTGTGACTTGAGAGATCAAGAGTGGCTATTTACATAGGGCTGGAGGATGTAATAGGACATAGGAATGACAGAAGGCAGAAAGAGATTAGATTTCCACCGTGCCCGTTTGTTCGCTCTCTGCTGTCTAATGCAGAGGGTGCCTGTGGATGGCAACACCTTCTCCCGGCACCTGCCAAGTGTTTTTAGGAAGTGGGTGGGGCCACTGGAAATTTGATTGGCTGTGCTGATTTTTTTAAAATACAACAACATTTCTTTGGCAAAAGCTACCACCAAAACACAAAGATTTTCACTGTGTGACTGAAGGTAAGCCGTGACAGCCATTTTGAGCCTAGCTCTGTCCTCCTCCAGCAGCTATTTGTGGCGGTCAGAATTCCAAAAGTGCCCACAGGGTCAAAAAGGTTGGGTACCCAGATCTAATGTTTAATACCCTTTAAACCTCTCTTTCCCCAGGTTCCCTCTGTATTTCTTGTCAACAGATGCACGGTGTGACTGTCCAAAACGTAAGAGCTTTTCCAAGCCTAAAATGCAGGGAAAACAGGGTCGGGGGGGTAGCTACCACAGAGTCAAACTGAACCACAGATTACACTGTAAAAGCTGCTTCAGACTTACAACATTTTTGACAGGAATCAGTGTAAGCCCAACCAGGCAGGAAGGGTCTGAGGCTCAATATGAACTTGAGCTTCTCTCCTCCAATCTGAATTCACGAGGCATTCAAAATACAGCTCACCCTTGCCAAGCAAAGCATGATCCCATCACAGTTCCTAAGCCTTTGTTACCCCCTCCAGCACTGGTTTCTGTCAGGAACTTAGCACATCTAAGGATCAAGCACCTGAAAGGGTGGATTAGCTGTGGTGACAGTTACCTAGGCTGCGATCATACACACTAAATAATCCATTTTCAATGCAGTTTCGAATTGGATTTTGACAGTTTACACAGTAAAATCCAGTTGGAAAGTGCACTGAAAGTGGATTATTTAGTGTGTGCAATCGCAGCCCCAGACAGCCTAATGACTTCTGGGTTTTCTTGTTTTTTTAAGTGGTCAGTACCTTTCAAATAGAAACTCCCAACTATGTTAAAGAGACATAGTCCAGCCATAACCACCAATGAAGCAACTGGCTAAGTTCCAGCAAGAGAAGCCTGTGGCACACATACCAAGCCAAAAAGCTGTATTTCTGACAGAAAGATGAGGTCAAGACTTTCCAGTTGATCTTTATTCTTTAAACCAGACCCCTTTCCCCACGCTTGACCACAAGACCTTGAAAATTAAACGGTATATAACCAACCGCTACGTGAACACTGACCAGCAAACACTGGTCCTGGTCAGAGAAGTAGGTTCAAAACAAAGGGAATAATGTTCCCTTTTTGAACACGGGAGGAAGCCAAACTGGCAACACGAGTATTTAAACACAGAAACATGGTTTTAAAGAAAAAATAATATTTATTTGCAATATAAACACAGTCCCAATACTGGGTTCAGGATATATAGGGTCACTCATTTTTCCTTCATAACACAGAAAGCAAAGCTGTCCCTCACTAACAAACTCTCATTTATACGAGGAGGATGCATCTTTAAGAAGACCACCATTGGCACAGGAAGCCTTTATACAAACCAGCTTAACAAGATACAGATGCACAGTCTAAATCCCTGAAAAAATAAAATGCCTCCTTGAGGTAAGATGCAGTTAAGAGAATCCCCACTTGCTTGCTCATCCACACACAATGCTCCACTTCTCTTGCCCTGATGACCCCAACAACCCCAACATTATTACATTTTTTTTAAAAAAAAATAAGAACAAATGAACAAACCAACAAACCAACAAAAAGAGATCATTCCAATATTCTGGAATGAATATTTAACAAAAAAAACACACCACAATTTCTTGATGCGACAGCATTAAACATTCTTTCACAGGAAGATAGTTTTTTATTTGTTGAAAAAGTATAAAACTGAATATTTGGGGGGGGGCATCCGTGGCTTTAGTTACTTTGAGAGTGAAAGTGGAAAGGGAGGCGGGAAAAAGAAGGTACTACCCTGAAGCCAATACGTATTTTCCTTGTCTGTTTGGCCCTCCTGAAAAAAATATAAGCACCACTTCTCCCTCTTCCAGTATAATACAAGATGTATTTCCCCCATATATTAGTGAGAAATATAAACAAGTCTTCTTGTTGTAGAAGGCACAGCAAAGAAGTTACCCAGAAAAAAAAGAAAATTCACCAGAAAGCTCCAGTGGCTTTAGGTATCACCCACTTCCCCACCCCTCTTCCCAACAGCGCAATCCCCGTGCCCTCCTGTGGTTCATACACGCAATGTCCTCTAGGTTCTGCATGAGAAGAGTCTTCGCTCAGCACAAGCCTACTGAAACAGCAGGATCCTTGGCTGCGCCCGGCCTCACCGCCGTGCTGCTCCTCCCACCACAGAAGAGGCGAGTGCGCCAGATAAATGCCAACATTGTTGAAAAGGTTTTCATTGCTTCGGAAGCTGGAATGATTTCAGGCCAGCTGGGTGACGTTAACAGTCATAACAGGCTGAGCAGAGCAACTTGAGAGCCTTTAAAACATGCTTCTGCCAGCTCTGGATGGAGGTTAGGCAAGATGCAATCTCAGGAAACACCAAAGTGGTAACTAGTATAGGGAAGGGGTGTGGGTGTGTTTGTTTTTGGCAAAGGTGGTGTTCTTTAAAAAAAAAAAAGCACATTGGCGCTTAGTCACCTTGGCTGATTCAGTGCAGAAGAGATTGTGAATGTGGGCATGGTGGAGGGAGTGTTATCACCAAATGGCCCTCACAAGTCATGAAAGCTTCACCCAGGTGCCAACAGCAGCAGCAAGGGGTCGGCCTCGCTCACTCCCAGTACCTAGTAACATGCCAGTATATAATCAAGGCTTTACAAAGTGTGCAAAATGCATTTGGTCAATAGAAACATTTGATTCTTCTCCTTTTATCTAAAAAACATGAATTTGAACAATAACAGAATAAAATACTGGTTTTGCAACCTTGTCTGTACAAACAGTCAGGAACGTACATATTTAAAAAGAGTTTGAACCCAAGAAAGAGTAAAGATTACCTCTTTTTTAAAAAAAGTAAACTGGTTTTTTTTAAAACAACAGTCTCAGGCCAACGCTTATTGGTCAAGGTTGCCAAGTGCATAAAGTCTCCTTTGCTTTCCACTCCCAGCTCACATACACATGAGCAGCTTTTGCGTGCAAGTGTGGCGTGCACAGGGTGTGTGCCGTGTCAGTCTGTACACACTCAGGAAAGCAGTTATTGCCAGTAACAGCTGCATTCAGAATGCCGGGCCATCCCTTACATTAAATAACTTTGATAAGGTAACTCCTCTGAACCCATTTTGATTAGCATCACAATACTAAGAAACGGCATGAGCCTTTTTCTGTAGAGCAGCAATCAGACAGCTCTGCTTGGAGAAACCAGTTCTTTCAAGGCTGACCAGAAAGACTTTTCTTTTTTCCTTTAATGAATTTGAAATGCTCAAGAGAAGCTATTCAAGGCTCAGGGTGCCCCTTCATGTGGACTCCAAAGTGTTCAGCTGAAACAAGTTGTGATTTGTCGGGGTAGTGAAGTAAAGCTGCTCGCCGGGGGAGCGGTTATCACATGGGCTGTTGAGTCCCAAAGTCCTCTCAAAGTCCAGGAGTTGGCCCATGAAGTTAAAGTTTGGGGAGATATTGGACTTTTTCCTTTTCACGAAATCATAGGCATCATTCAGAGACAAGTTGAGCTTTTGCATTAAGTAGGCAACAGTTACCGTTACAGACCTGCTGATGCCGGCCAGGCAGTGAACAAGGATACCACATTTCTTGGAACGGGCCTCATCTGAAATACGGAGAAGAGAGGGAGGATTAGCGTTCTGTACCAAAAAAGCCACCTCATTGACATAGGGCTAACTGGAAACCTGCCTCTACCTTTTCCAGTCCAAGACTGAAAAACAGGACTAAGCTAAGCCATATCCACATAAAACTACAGTTACAACTAAATGCTATCTGCAAGTCTCATAGGTTGTACAGTTGCATTGATAGCAGCAGCCAGTGCTGTATAGCAAGGACACCTTACAAATAATTAGTTCTTTATATCTTAAAGCATTTCTATGCAGCAGGAAACGGCGATAACTAGAAAAGATAAGGAAATAAGTGTGAGGGGCAACGTCAAACTTGTACTCCCTGCATCTTGTTAAGATGGCAGTTCAGCGCTCTCCAGTCTCAACAGTGTTTACTGTTAAGCAACACTCTGGTTGGTAGCCAAGACGCTGGGAAATTGACACATGACTAAATGCTACTACAAAGGCCACATTTGCCAGCTTTTGGAGGCTCCTCATTTTCTGAACACAAAGCCAGCTTCATATGAGAACCAAAGTTTGCTAGAAGTGATTATATTTTCTCACTCCACACAAAATTACCATTGTCTAACAAAAACATTCAATCATATGGCAGGCGAGAAAGGCTAACTGCATTTTAATGACCAAAGCAACATATTTCCACAGGCTAAATGCAGTGTCAAGGACTATTGATGGTATCTACATGTAACTGACAGTGGAAAATAAGGTCCCATTTCTTCAACATCTTTACCTGATGTTAGACCTCCTTAAGTAAACCAGCACCATGACCCAAGTGACAAAGGCCACAATTGTAGCCATGACCCAAGTGACAAAGGCCACAACTGTATCCATACACACTCAGAAGTACATTCCATCAAGGTTCACAGAATTAACAACAGTTGAGGCCTTGTTGCATGTCATCTAGCTACCTTGCAGTACAATCTTATGCTCCACTGTAAGACCACTTGGACTGGACTAACTCTGCATCTTGTTCTCTGATTAACAGCGGGATACAAATGTGAAAAATAAATAAATAAATAAAATAAGTCACAGATAGCAGAGGAAAGAGGGAAATACAGAATGAACTCACTTGACTTCTTATACCATAACACTGTACAAATCACTAAGCAGGGACTGCTCAGCACAACCATTTCTCTAGCTAAAGAGTTTCTCTGAGGTATTCTGGTGCTCTCTTTGAACACAGGTGCCTTTTTTGAATTTGGGTTTTTATAGTGAATGAATGAGATAATCATTTCCTGTCATAAAAACCAAAAGCACAACGTGTGGTTTTCACGGAAGGATGTTTTTGACTGAGGCAGTGTCTCAATACCACACTCTAGCAGCAAGCCTTCAAGTAAAAACAAGTTCCGATAAAGTGATAACGCCAATACAGTTGAAAGAATAGATATTACAGATTTTAAAAATCTGTGGTAATACAAGCCTAATTACATTTGGACACCAGCTGGCTCCCCCCCCCCATGTTAGCTTACAACAGGAAAAAGGAAGAATGCTGCAAGCAACATGAACAGTTTTAAAGTTGCCAGACTTTTCAGTGCAACCAGGCACATAAACATTAGCCCAGTATTTCTACCACAGTAAACAGATCTGTGGCTAGTATATGCACATTATGAGTCAATTGTACTATACTCCGTGCACTTCCCAGGCTTATAAGTAGTTCACAATTCTATACACAGATCAGCACTACCAACAAACGAGGGGGGGGGGCGCTAAGTGTTATGTTTGAAGATTCTGTTACAACAGTCATCTTCCATCATCAAACAAATGTAGTCAGGTATGCACAAGGAAGAAGAGAACCAATCTACTATGTGCTTTCCCCCTAACCCCCAATATAAAACAAAGAGGGTTTCTCTTCAGCACCTTGAAAGCAGATACAAAAATCACGGCCTTTTTAAAAAAAAAAAAAAAAACAAGTTATCAGGCATCATCTGTATTCCTGTATCATCTGTATCTAAAGAAGTGAGCAGTGACTCACAAAAGCTCATGTCCTACCACAAATTGTTAATCTTTAAACTCATGCCCTACCACAAATTGTTAATCTTAAGGGCATCATCTGTATTCCTGTATCATCTGTATCTGAAGAAGTGAGCAGTGACTCACGAAAGCTCATGTCCTACCACAAATTGTTAATCTTTAAGGTGCTACTGGACTCTTACTCTTTACTAAAAGTATCTTTGATATCTAAAGTGATTCTAGGAAGCTCCTATTTAAGACTCAAGGAGTTTCTCAATTCACTTTTAGGTGGTCAGCATAAGGATTTTTGCCAAACTGCAAAAATAAACCTTGATGACATCCACCAGTCTACAAATTGTTTCACATGTGCCTACTCATCACTTAGTAATTTTGGCAGTGAGATAACCTGCATGTGTGAAATGAACCATCACACATCCAACACAGTCAGTTCTGAATGTAATACTCCAGCAGCGGAATTCTTTAAATCAGCTGCCTAGGGAGGGTGGTGAGCTCCCCCTCACTGGCAGTCTTTAAGCAGTGGCTGGACAAACACTTGTCAGGGATATACTGTAGGCTGATCCTGCATTGAGCAGGGGGTTGGACTGGATGGCCTGGATGGCCCCCTCCAACTCTGTGATTCTATGATTCAGCAAGCATGCAGCTGTAAGGCAACTCTAAATTATATTACCTCAGTAGTTTTCAGACAATTCCCCAAAACCCTGCAGTTTCTTGATGAGAAGCTCAGTAACGGCACATAACCTTCAGAGCAAAACAGCTTGCTGCCTTATCACTCACTGATCTTCCCCTTCTGTTTGCAGCTAATCTGATGTATGATCACACAGTTGACACAAAGCAATACTGATGCAATAGTGATGCCCAAAGGGCCTGGCCAGCATCCCATATTAATTGTATGAATCCTAGAATATTGCCCCAGAATCTTTAGCATCAGACTAGGAGACCATAATAGATGCTCAGGAGTTCCCTGCCAGACAAATCAATGTTAAAATGGTTGCCTAGGGGTAAAATATTTGAAATAACTTTACTCATCAAATCATAGATAGGCTTGCCATTTGCCAAGTATTTATTTAGAAAATGTGTACGCTACCTCTCCGGACACTATTTCCATAGCTAAAAATGCTATAAATATAGTGGGATAGGAGGAAATAGGTCATATGGAGGTTCCTTATGCCAATTACACAAAATTCCATCTAAACACCAACTGAAGCAATCTGTGAATCAAAAGATTCTAAACACAGCTTATTTTTATAGCACATATAAGGAAAATGCCTCCATAATGCACAGTAATAGTGCCCAAAACCATGACCACACAATCTGACCTCTAAATCTACCACATGTAGAGAAATTTCTAGAACTTTCATTGGATGTGATCTTTGCGCCAATTAAATCAACTAATGTACAGCCCAAACAGGTTAAACTTGGATGCCCAATACTGGCACATTCACCAGGTAACAGAGTTGAGCGGTATAAAACTGGACACGCTAATTCACCAAAGGCAGATGGAAGGGAGCAGTTACAGAACCCTCTAGACTAGTTATGGAAAATTACTGATTGCTAAAGGGGATGTTCCATCAAGAACAGGATGTCCAACACCTACCAATGAAAGCAATGGCCTCAGGGAAGAATTGGGAGAGATTCTGACTCCAGTGATCCGAGATGGGAATCTGTTTGTACTTGAATTCTCCGTCGTGCTCAAACATGTTGGGAAGGTTGGGAGTAACGTTCAGGATGTACTTGATGCCATACTTGCCCAAGACATCCAGGTTGCTGGAATCTTTGGCACAGCCCAGATACAAGTAAGGGAGAATCTGGACAGGGAAGGCAGGCTGGTTGTTCGGGATCGGGCTCCCATCAGATTCTGTGGCACTGCTTGGCTCCCGATCAGACTCCCCATCTGAACAATCAGAGCTTATCCTCAGCCCGCCCAGACCAAGAACTGATGCAGGAGGTGAGTTGGTGGGAGAAGAAGTGTCAAGACTGGTTTCACAATGCTCTGAGTATTCTGTCTGAAACTTGTTAAATCCACCTGTGAAAGTAAACAGAAAATACCATTTTACTGTCACTGTATTTTAGTGCTACAGATAAGAAAATGCTTATTGCCAAGGGAACACTCCATTTTCAGTTATTTGCTTCCCCCTAGCAACAAGACTGACAAAATCAGGAGGTTGGTTCCCCACCCTTTTCTTTCACGCCTCCAATAGCAGTTCAGGTTGCCAACTGACCAAAAAACACAGGTCTGCCTTACTACTGTACTTTGAACAGCAGCTTGATAGGTGTCTCCTTCTTGCCCTTTCATAGTATGGAGATAACCATTGCAGACAAAAAAAAGAATTACTAAAGGCAGAAGAGCAAGACTTGGCAACCCAGCGGCAACAGTAAAGAAAAAACTTTTAAGTGAATGCTTCACTTTGGAATTGACCACACTCATTTAGTCTACACTGCAGGAATCCCCCTTTTTTCTGTCCCATTCAGGCTCTACTTCTCACCCAAAGGTAATAAACCTGAGTCCGGACTGCATCACTCAAACTACAGGTAGAAGCTTGCTTCACTCAAAAATAAATAAAAATGTTACCATAGCAAGAAGGTTAGAACTCT